ACTGACAATTCAAGTACTGTCCAGCTGCCGAATTCATACGCACATATACAGAGATAGCTTTAAGAACAGCAGCACTTTTACAAAAAATATTAATAAAATTATTACAGTTGTTTCTAACTTAAACTTTATAATGCTAACACTGCCGGTCTACGTTTCAGCACGACCATTCAATATATATTTTCACACCGATCTACTTCCATAATGTCCGCCTGTACACTTATAAATTCAGTGTGTTTTCTCTTTCTAGTTTGTTGCTACTGTCACATGGGCAAGTTTCTTCTATGGTGTCCCTCCCTTTTATGGTACATCGATCTGCATCGCTTGCAGTCAGCTGGAGAAGTTGAGAGCAAGCCTGAAGAATATAAGACAGAAAAACGACGCACCAGAGAAGGACTCGAGAGCTAAGACGGACCAAGACGAGGAACGAGAAGCCCAGACCTCTCAGCAAGTGTTTCAACACATGCAGAAACAACTCAACGACTGTGTTCGTCACCACCAACTAATCATAGAGTAAATACACTTCAATGAACTATTTACATTATTTTATTTTCAAACAGGTATGTTCTACACTTGCTATGCTACAAATCAAGATGTTAATTTAGGTCAGCCGAAAGCACTGTCATACATAGATAAACATTTCTTAGCTAAACTTGCCAATTTATTTTGCTATTGGAGAGTTTCACGATGTGACTGTCTTTACCTTCGGGAAAAGAGTCCACAATAACCAATGGAAGAAGCTGCAAAGATGACTGAATCAAGGCCAGTGAACAGACCCAACAGAATAGGTTTTTACCTGCAGACAGATACAAGATCTTGCTTTTTAATTAAATTAGATCGATAAATAATGTTCAAGAAATTTGTTACTTTAACAATAAACCGTCGTCACAAACCTTGAGATTTAATCAAACATTATGTCAAGTCTTTACCGGCGAGGCTACGAAATATTTGTGATTTGTCCAACCCCTACAATATTATTCTACATATACATCAATTAAATATATGGTGTGTTCCTATTACAAAATTAGACATCTTGTTTCCGCTATAACAAAGGCTATAGGCCTACTATCACGTATATACTTCAGGTGTGCTACGTGATATATTTCAGGCTATTGACTCAGAAATCATTTTGACGTTTTCTTTGTCTTAATTTACAGATATATTCGTGCAATAGAGGATACATTCAACCCGCTCCTGGCCGGTTATTTTCTTATCCTAATGGGTGGCCTATGCTTTACATCATACACCGCTGTAACGGTAATTGTGCTCATACAAATACAAAATATAGAGACTGATAAGAAAATTGCAGACATTACGATTTTATCTTAACCGCGAAAGCTTTCTTCTACGTTCTAAGTGAACATTAATTTGAAAACAGTTCTCAAGAAATAGGATTTGAGACTTTCGAGGCGAGTACAATCAATAAAATGTTCTCGGGCAATCCGCCGCGTTAACTGCTTACCGTAGTAAACCGACGTTTCGGGAACTAACTCTGTCCCCATCACCAGGGTTCTGATGTGTTCCTATTTTTGCGTGTTCTTGTCAGCATGATTATTAAAATCCGAATTCCATAAAAGACGGACAATTTCTAAACAATTTGAGTGCTTATAAGGTTCTCAACAACAACTCTCCTCGGTAAAATTAATTAGTTTCGTTGCTTCCGGAATTTGAAAAAAAAAATGCATCGTCAGTCATAAACAGCACTAATGACAAGTGCTTCAAAACGGCGAAGTTAAATAAAAAGACATGACTATTTAAATTATACAGTATACGAAGTAAACATTAACTAACTTCTTGAAAAACTTACAGTGACTCCACTGGTCAAGGTATTCCCCGTCTTTTATGGAACCCGAAAGTACATTATCGAGTTCACGAGATGGCGGTCTTCTGGGCTGTTGCGCCGTGTAGTCTGCAACAACCCAGAAGACAGCCATCTTCAAACTCACCGCCGCGAAAACCTCAAATCCTACAGAGTTCACAACAGTCGGCCATTAGTGCCTGTTCTGATATCTTTTGACCTGTGCCCAGGTCTCATAAGTGGTGTTTCCCTTCAAGTATCCCAAAATGCATTTTTATGTTGATTTCTTATCTT